GTTAGTTCCTTGATTAGCTCTGATCTGAGGAGGTGAGAAGGTTAGAAATGTAAAAGGATTTGCATGGACAATTACTACAGACAGGACAAGACTTCACTGGATAGGTAAAATATCAGGACCAAAGATTATAAATACTAAGTACTGCTCAAACATGACCATATGACTGAGTAATAATTCCTACAGATGGTCATGGCCATAGGACTTTTTCTGTTGCTGAGATTTCTCTCTCTAAGCTTTCCATTTTCTAGGACAGCTTTTTGGGCCAGGGTAATTTTTCTCAATGATTTAGCTTATCTGAGAAAGTACAAATTATTTTCAAGGTTAACAGTAGTTTGGTGCTCAACGAATCAATTACCTCAACTGCCAACCTCAAATGTGGCAAAGAAAAACTAACAAACAATGACTTTTTTTTTTTATAATGCAAGAAAATCTGGGGAGATTTTCACTAACACTGAACAGACTTTATATAGATACACTTGCCCTCTTCATGTTCACAAACAAGAACTGGTGACTTATTTTCTATCAAGACTAAACCAACTTCCACCACATCTGAACATGTACAGAAGCTGATAAAACAATTATTTTGAACACATAAACCACTGGTTTGTACTATATTTAGCCCCTTTCCCTGGCTGTGTGTGCCTTCGGCGCTCGGGAGGGTCTCAGACAGGGCCGGCGGGGACCTGCCGCCGCACCCTGAGCCCCTGGCCTAGGGAGAGGGGGCTTGTGAGGACGCTGCACCCACAGACATTCTCTTGCTAGTAAGTAATACGGCTTGGCTTTTGGAAGGAGCGGCCTCTACAAGGATTTCCTCCCTTTGGAGTAGAGCATGACTAACTTCCTCTCAGCAAAACTCTGCTGTAGTAAAAATTAACATAAAATAAAAATTACTTATTTAGCGTTAGCCGCAGGTAATTAGATTAATTTTTGACTTCAAAGACCAGGAGTGCGTTTCATGGCCAGAGTGGCTCTGCATCCTTACTGCCCCAGCCCTAGTATCTTTCCATCATGCTGTGAAGGGATACGCTGAAGAAACTCCTTCTTGGTGGTCAGTTGAATTTTGGCCCATCTGAAGTTTGCAGTGAGAATGTCAGGGGTCATGATAAGCTGTGCAGTTCCCAGTTAGTTAGCAACTGGCCTGACAGGAAACACGGAGCAGCGAGCATAGTGCACTGCTAACAGCTGAACGTTGGGTAAACAACCAAGAAGGGAAGGATTGCAGATCTAGTAACCGTCACTTTTTTCCTATTTTCTCGTAGTTCTTCCATTAAATAAATGAAGTAGCATGAACAAAATCTGAGTGTAAAGTAAATTGTAAAAGCTATGAAAATTCTGAAGTTTTCCCAGTAAATTATCTTCTCACTGATCTCATTGTATAACCTGCTGTTTTAATTTTTAAGTTATGAATTCCATCTCTCTTTGTTTAAAGGTAGCTTTTGAATTTGGGAATGAATTAAAAGGTCTTCAAAATCTATGTAAGCTGTGCAACTGTAACTTTCCATTTCAAGTTTTAATATGTACTTTAAGCTGTGTGCTTGGTACTTGTGACAATCTGCTCCCACAGGTATATTTCAGTGTTTTAAGGTTTTCTGTCACAACTTCCTGTACCTATTTCTAGCTCTGCTTTGCCTGTTGTCATGTTTGGTTGATGTTTGGCTTATGTTTGGTTGATGCTTTTTGTCTTGCTATCTAGGTTGTGTACAGAAGAGTTGCTCTCTACAATAAAGAATTCTTGGGCACTTTTCTTAAAAGATATTTAAAGCTTTTTCTTTCTTACTTGAAGCATTACCATATTTCAGTAAACATTATTGTAATTAAGTGATATTATTTTCTTTCTCTTCCTGTCTGATCAGAAAAGTCAGATATCTAAACTTGAAGGCATGGGCAGGCTCTTTCTCATGTTCCTATCTGCATATGAATTCAGTTCCACCCTCCTTTTTTTTTTTAGAACTCTATACCTTTCAGTATGTTTTAACCTTTTAAAGCAGCGGAAGACTTTGGGGATTTTTTTATACAGGTCATTCGTCACCCAGACAGATATTCCAAACGGTAATGTTATACAGACCACTGAATTTGTGGTTTTGTTTCAAGCCAACCACATAGTTCCAGATTTATGAGAAAAATCATTGGACACTTCTTGTTTTCCCAGTAGAATGGTGTATTAACTTGGAATTATTTTTTATTACAGAGTTACATCTGGAGTTTGCATCTGTAGTATTTATTTTTAACTTTCAAAGCATGATTCCACCAGCAAACACAGAATATCTACTTTCTTTTTTCTTTTTTTTTTTTTTCTCTTTAGGAAAAAATGTGCCTCAGACACTGCTGACCTCAGACCTTGCAGAGACCTGCTTTACCAGGCAAGTCCCTCAGTTGGTCAGTTCTTAAGATATATTGAAAAAAATTATTATTTGCTTACTGAAAATTCCCTCTTCCCTGTTTTGACAAGACTCTAATCTTTTTCCTTTCTTTTGCAAGAGCATCCATGCACATAAATGTAGTAAGCGGAGTACTGAAAGCAAAGGTGGTTTATGGTGAAGAGATAACTGAATATGATACAGCTGAGTTTGGCTATAATTTTGCTGTACCAGCTGAATAGATTTGTGACTCGTAATACCCCTTTTTCTGAGTACACAATCCATCATTTTCCTTATTTCTGTTTTGTAATGCTATATATGTCTACACTGCTATTTTAAAGTCCAACTTCAGTACACTAAAGCATCTGGATAAAACGTATCAACTCAGGGTTTAGGTGATTTAGGCTAGTAAACTCATGCTAGTCTTCAGTGTTGTTTATACATTTACTGTTCACCTTGCAGGCTTAATGACTGCTGTTGTTAACACTTTCTCAATGCAGTCTAGGCATACCTTTTTGCTCTTCAAGAAGGAGAGTAAAAATGGCTGTAGGATCCAGTTTGCTGGGTCAAATCCATTCACAAACTCCCATTCTCAACCACAGACAGTGGCCAGGACCTGGTCTTACCCTGAAGTAGGAAGTAATTAGATAAATTCTGATAAGAGAGGTCTCAATTATTGCCCCACATTTAAGAATTTGTCCTTATTTTGGGATTGTATGTCTATTTTTCTCTTAAATGAAAGACAACCACTGAATTTATGGCTTTGATATTTCCATGTAAGCTAATATGCATGCAGGGGGTAGGTTATAGAATTCATATGCTCCATTTTAGTATGCTTAAAATCTTAGAAGTTGATTTGTTATCTAAAACAGGTCAATCTTACTAGAAACCTGTTGATACAAATTAAACCATTTTTTTGTTTGCTTGTTCCTTTTACCATGGAAGTAAATTTTGAGGAATTAAAGCCTTTTTGGTCTTAAAAAAATGTGACTCATAGTATTTTACTAGTTGGAAAGGAGCTAGCTTATCCTGGAAAACATGTGATCTCTACAAATTAAGCAGCATTTTTTTAAGGAGGGTGGTAATGCTTCTGCTAATAAAAGACAACTGGCAAAAGTTATTACAGGTTCTGACTTGTGCCTGGGCCACCACCGTCTTGATTTTATCATTTTTGTAGAAGCATTGAGCGTGGTTGCCAGTGCTGCATCAAGAAGAAAATACAAATTAAGTGAAAAAGAAACCACTTTCTGGTCCAGTTCGCTGGCAGGCCATCCCTGAAAGGACACATTATTATCCATTGTATCTTTCAGATGTTGAACAAATTGTATGTGCTCTCACAGTTAATAAAATGTTGGGTTTTGTTTACTAATTTGTATCTCACAGCAGTATTGCTTGTGTGTTTGCTTCACACTGGTGAAGAGAGCCTCTTTCACTGTGCTTGTGTATTCCTTTGGTAGTGGGTTCTAAAATCTCTGTGGTTGTAAGAGTATATTAGCATATGGTACATTTCTGATAAACCTGAAAAAGTGTAAATCCTTAAAAAAACAATGGGGATATTCTGACTTTGGATAGCTAGCAACAAGTGTTTAATTTATCATGGCAAACACCAGATTGTTTTTCATTTCATTACGAGTCATGGCATAGGGTATTGTTCTGTGTGTGCTGTATGTTGAACATGGAGTCTTCATAATACTTTTCAAATCTGAAAAATCAAGAACTAATACATCCACAATAGTGTATGTCCTCATGCCCTCACATTTCAATGTGATCTGTATGAGTTTCCAAGAATAAAAGACATTGTAATTGCAGTATTGCTCATATGGTTCTCTTTTTTTTTAAGGCCTGCAGATTCTTATTTGCAATGTAACTAAATTATTGTTGCTTTCTGACAGTGATTACTCTCAGAAAAACTGATAATAAACAAGGTGATTTTAAAAGTATTGAATGTCTGAAAAGCCTGTGGTGTAGAACACTGATCTGAAAAGGATTATATAATGAAAAAGTTGATGAAATACTATTATTTTTTCATAAATGGACAAATGTGATGGATCAGCGTAAAAAGGTTGAATTTAATACAAACCACATCAAGTTGCTATTAAATGACATCAAATTATTACCAGTTATTATTTTAGGAGAGATTAGATGTCTGTCATAAAGTCTGGTTCTTGAAGTATGCCCTTAGTCCTTGTCAGTTCTGGTTGTCTCTGAAGACTGAAGGGTCTTCCTTACATCATTTAACAATTAAGTCTCCTATAGCCTGTTTATTAGTCATACCAGTTAAAAGAGCACCACTGCTAAAGACATGCACTGGGAGGCAAGATTCCTTAGCAGCTATTTTAGGACTGTTAGCTAGTCTATTACAGATTCAAACCACTGGAGATGTGTTCATTGGCTGTTGTGGCTGCACCTGATGAAACATGACCTGCAAGCTTGCAGTTCTAGATATTTTGTTTGAAAAAGTTCAAAACTTGAGAAACAAGGCTTGAGATCACATAATTCCTTCCTTCTTCAGTCAGACAGTTTTTCAAATAGTGTATTTTAGCAGTGTTCTTCTTGTAACCATTTCTTTTTTCACATCCTAACCCAGAGATAAAAGTAGAAGGAGATTGTTACTGTCCCTACTGAGGCTTGAATGACTATTCTAAAAAAGTATGTATTGATCTTTCGAAGTGAAACCCTTCTGTTTGTAGTTCCTAGTCTACACAATTCATCTCAGCCCTCCTGTGCAATGGTCTGGTTCAGAAAAAGTGCTAGAGGTAAGGAGGAGAATATTCTCAGCATTTTTTGGCTGTCCAGAAGCTGCATATAAGTTAAAACATGAACAACATGAGCCTTAAGCATTGGCAGCCCATCTTCTCTAGAATTTAGTAATAGAAGCTGCTGGGAGAGACAGGCAGAGATTCCACTCCACGCTCTACATCTTGGCAGTATTGATACATAAGTGAAGACAAAGTGTTTTAGAGAGTGGCATTTTATGTAACTAGAAAGACTGTGCAGGGATTTCTTCTGGACACTAAGTTTGTCTGAAAATGGTTATTTGGGAAGTCATATGTGATAAGTGAAGGGATGACGGAGATACAAGTAACTGACATTATGTGCGGAATGGAAGAGAATGTGGGGATCCATGTATTCATATATTGCTGTTAACTTTGGCACTATAGTCTGGTATTTCAAGAAGAGTGCATGAACAGAAATGAAGGCAAGCAGATATAGTGAGTGCTATTAATTGTAGGCAGATAAGGATTAAGACTGTTGTCGTAAGGAACATGCAGAGAGGGAGAGTGTGCTGTAGAGTGGATGTCTTGCAGGCTGTTCAGGGAAACTGTGTTAACTTTGTGTGATACTGGCATTTCATATGTTGGTTTCACAGTGCACCAAGCAAGCAGTGACATAGAAAGCCTTCCAGCTGTCAGTGTGAGAAACACTTGCTTTCCAAAGGTGTGGTTAAATCATCTGTAGGTCATTGCCACGGTGTGTATTTCTGAAAAAAAAGTACATGATGGGATGTAGTTGTTATTAGCATGTTGGTCTATTCCAGCAGAGCTAATGCAGGACAACGGAATAATCATCACATACCAGTTTCTTGCCATTTACTTCTGGTTTTGTACCAGCTGGTCAACCCAGAAGTGATGGTGTGATGCAGTGAAAATTAGTGGGCTGATGATGATAACTTTAGGAGAGAAAACATTGTAGTTGAAGATACAAGCACACTGCCTGAGACACAGCTGTGGAAAATGAGTGTCCCAGAATGATGTATTATTATAAGAGAGAAGCTTCTTCAGGATTGGTTATGCAAAGAAATAAAGGTTGGTAATGTTGGGCTGGGGAGGCATCACAGCACACCTACCAGATCAGATCCTCAGCACCAAGGAACTGCTGCTCAGAAAAGTTCCACAACACCTTATCCTCATGGCTTTAGCTATAGCAATATAATTGTGTAAATAGCTACACAAAAAAATGCTGTAACTCTTTGTCTAGGCTCTTGATTCTATGTAAGACCTTTCCACAAATATCTGATCTTTTATTCATTAGTATATATGAAAACTGTGTCAATACTGTCCTACTTTAAAAATGGCTCTTGATGAGTCACTGGTATTCCATCTTGGGGAAAAGTTGCTCTTTCAAATATGGCACTTCAGTACTTAGGCTATGACACAGTTGCTATTGGAAAGCTGTAATTAGCAAAAATTATGACCATAATTGCAGAAATAATAGTTTCACTTCAGACTGGGACACTTAGGATAACTTAGTTTGTTATTTCATTTCATATATGCTTCATTATTTCATTTTGTTTTTCACGATGGAAGCCCAAAACGCCACAAGAATTCAAGGAATCTACCCTTTGTTCTCCATGAGTTTTCTCTGCTCTTATGGTACTTAATTATACCACTGACCCTTTTCTGCAATTATGTTAGAATATACCAGCTTCTCTTGCATTGCTGCTATAGAAGGCGGCCTCCATGAATGTAAGAAAGCTTGGGAAAAGCTCCACAACTTGTACAAGAACAGATCTGGAGAGTGCGAGTAGCTATCTTATGGAAAAGATGACACTTTTGTATTAGCAGTAGACTGGCATGTTGAAATCTTGTCAGGGTACTCATTACAGGTATCCTCTAAAATCCCAATGACTATTATTCCATTTCAGCTTTGCAATTACTTTAGGGCCAGACACTGTCTGGTGGTGTTTGCTAGACAGCAAAGTTCAAATTTAGAAACGACACACGAGCTGTAAAGTAGACAGAAACACTGATGAAAGCTTGCAAGCTTTAAGGCACACACTGGACTGACTGGCAAGTAAAGTAAATTAGACCAGTCTTACCTGACCTCATAAACTGATGCTGAGATTTTATGTCATCTCTGTATGAAGAGTACTTTAATTGAGTATGGAGACATCTTCAATAGGACTTTTTTGGTCATTCGCTAGTCTGAGCTTCAGTCTCCTGATTTCATAATATTAACAGCTGTAGTTCATTTCACTTTCCTGAATGTGACAGGAGTGATTTAGCAGTGTGCTGGAAACTATTTTATTTTGCTTGTCTCTAGCTGTAGGTTAATCAAAGTGTTGGCAAGACATTCTGATCGTTGCATATGTGAAATTAATATAAAACAAGCAAGTCAAACTAGAGAAGCCTGATAATACTTTTGCCATCATGTTTTTCCCATGTTTCCAGCTGAAGATGGTAGTGCATAGAAAAGACAGATAAAATATGAAGTGCATCATGTGATTCCTGTGTGTCCAAATGGACATTTAACACTCTAAAAATATCTAAACCACAAATATCCTTGTTTGTTTCTTCACATAAATGGTGAAAATTAAGTTTCTAAAAATTACATTTTCTCAGCCTAGCAGCAATGGTGTGTTTGTATAATAGCTAAAATTCTTGATAATGCAGAGTCATTATACTTTTTAAAAAATTATTGGTTGTTAAAATATGTCCAATTTAGCAATGACCTATTCCTAGGTAATTTATATTCACAGGCAAAGTATCTGACTGCTGTTTAAAAAAAAAAAAATCTTTAGAGCGCAGCACAGTCATTTAAGACTTTTTTGCTACTATGCAAGACAAAAGTTTTGCAGTCCTCTGCAGTAAGCACAGTGTTTGGTAAAAAGGCATCTGTTCCCTTCTTCTTCCCATTTTTTCCCCCCAGCAATGACTGATCTATCATTCAGGATTTTATTGTGTGTATGAATAGATGTGTATACATATTATTTGTAACAATTTTTAAAATGTATTTGTGCATGTGTATGTTTTAATATGTATGTGTATGTATATGTATAAATTTCTTTTTACATTTTAGAGCTGTGATGGCCAGTCACCAAGCAGAAGTTCAGAATTTGAAGCTAGATAATGATTCAGTTATAGAAGGAATAAGTGACCAGGTACTGGTGGCAGTTGTGCTCAGTTTCACTTTCATTGCTGCTCTGGTATATACACTTTTAAGGTGAGAATATGTTGACAACAATTAATCAACATACCTGCATTTGTAAAATTCTAACTTTCTCGACAAATTTTTGCACCGATATATAAATTAACTGTGATTTTGTGATGTTAAGGAAATTATTAATCTGTTTAGTTAATTGCTTGGCAGAGTTCCATAATTTAATTCACAGTTAGGATGAAATGATGCATTTCTCAAAAGTGAAGTTTAACTCTTCCTTATTTTCAGATGATCAAACTGAATGATGTTTATTATTCCTTAAGACTGAAAATAGTTGAATTTGCAGTCTATATGGCTGGTCAAAGTACAGATTTGTCAATAATGACTCCACAATAAATGCTGGATACAGTCCTCCAGTGTACATATACTGTTGCAGTCTCGGTCCGAAGAAAGAGCGAAAAACCACCCCAAACCTGAATAGATTGGCTATTTGTTAGTTAACAAATTTAAAGTTAGATTTATTAATAAATTAATATGCTGGAAAACAGTGGACTTTAATATGCTTTCCATAAAGCAAAATGTTAAGTTCAGAATTTGATAACTTTGATGATAGGGTCATCAAAGCCTATTTTTCATTTCAGAGTTTTTACTTGCAAACTAACGAGTATCTTGGCCTATGTGTTTTGGGAAGATAAGCCTGAGTGTCAGATTGGCTCTTTTTTTTTTTTTTATGGATGTCTGTAGACCTCTAAACACAGAAGAGTTTTAACAACTAAGAGAATTTAGGGATGCATTTGCCTTATGGAATTTATTGAGGAGGATCTGCCCATATGAGACATATAAGTGGGGTAGGAGTATCTGAAGAGCAAGCTATGAAAGAAACCAGAAGTGAGAAACGTTGGTTAGACTGCAAGGCAATGCTGCTGTTGAGGACTGGGAGACAGCAAAGAAATCTAAGAGAAACGTATGCACTTCAGCTTGCTTTTCTTTCCAAGGTTGTTCCAGTTATTCAGGTGGCTTCAAGAGTGCCTTTTTTTCCCTCTGCTCTCTTACACTTTCTCTAACACTTATATTGACATGTTTAGCATTTGTGACTTGAATTTTAAGTTTTTGATATAAAAGTAAACTTTTTTTAAAAAAAATTATAATGGAAAGTAAGTGAGGAACATGAAAAAAAGTGAGCAGAACGAGGATGATCAGTGGAGAAGAATAGCAGGAGTTCATTCAGGATTGGAATTCAGGGATATGACACATCAGTGATGTATGGTTACTTGGGGAGGGAGAAAAGGACTAGTTAGTAACTACTTCTGCACTGTAATGAGCTAAGTAATGAGTTTGTCTGTGGATTCTGTTACATTCCCTGATGATTTATTTTCTGGAGGGGCAAACAAACTTGGACACAAAGCTGCCATACTTTGGAAGTCTTGAAGTTTGAATACTTCTGCATTGTATGACATTGTATGACTGTAGGACTATTGAAAGTTCTATCAGCATCCTCCTAGCTCTCCACTGTGCCTTCTGATATGTTCTGAAATTGCCTCTATTCAGCAGTAGTTTTCCTCTAGCTCCTTTGTATTGTCTCCATCAAAATTGGCACAGTACGGCAGAAAATTCTGTACAGTAGGAAAATCTGTACAGTACAAAAGGTATAGTAATTTTTATTTATTTAGCACTGAAGGAGGAATGCAGGAGAAAAGGAGTATTGGTTTTTTCTTCTCTAGTTATCTTAGGCAACACAGTGGTCTGTGTGTTCCTTATACTGTGTCCGTAACCCCAGTCTCTTTACCACCCATACTTCTGTGTGCAACATCTGAAGTACTGAAGTTGGGTAGGAACAGGTCCTCATTAAGAATACTTGAAAGAAAGCTTAGGATAATGGATAAGGTTGCAGAATAAAAAGGCAAAGTAGGCAGCAAGGAGTGTATGTTAATGTAGATTTTAGGGGACAGAAGTGGAATATGGAAACAACTGTTAAGGGATATGGTTTGCCGTACTTGTTTCCAGCAGGGAGAATTCAATGAAGTATCACATCAGAGCATGAGCTGAAGGTCTCTGTGCTACTGATGGAGAAACATGTAAGTGGTAATTAACATATATACCAAGTTGCCGATGTTTACTTCAGTCACTATAAGATACTTTTTCAAAGCCTGTATGTCTTTGAGTTACAAATTTTGATAAAATACAGCCAGATTGTTTCCATTATCTTTTAAACGTGCAAGTAGGTTGTTACATTACAAATGAGACTGTGAAAATTTAGTTTATCCAAGAAATTAAAGGGAGCCTGGCCCTCCAGTGTTTTGTATCAGAGATTTCCTACTTGTCCCAGGTGACTAACATAACCCATGTTTATGAATCTCCAGGTTTAGATCTTTTTCTCTCATTTTTCTATCCCAATATATGGTTTGATTATAAGATCAAGTCAGTATTTTCAGCAGAAGTGAGATCTTAATCCTTGGAAATTAACAATGGCCATCACTGCCCAGTGATACACCAGTCCCTGTATATTTTCCCTCACTTGCCCTGTGTGAGACTGCACACCGAACGAGTAGGCAGCCTTCCTCCTTCTGGCAATGATAGTTTTCTGGGGCCCTCTGTGTTGCATAGTACAATCTTTCCACATTATGAGACTTCTTTCCTCAAGTTATGGAGTCCTAACACTCAGAAATGGGGAAATTAAAAGACTTTGCATCTAACTTTGTTTCTGGCTTGTGTTTGATAATGCCTTTAATTACATAGCACTATACTGGTTTTCATTAATTTCATTTATTTTCTCACATTATTTGCATGACAGAAGTTATGAATTGGATATGTCTTGAGCTCTGCCTGGCCCCTTCTGGACATTGCACAGTGTTCTGCTACCTCAGCATTTTAGGCATAAATGGCGAATGTTGTATATACAGCTCTACAAATACTCTCATGTGTTCAATATTAATTGAATTTCAGAGTACATCAAAGTTCTGGCAAACTGAAGGCACAAGATATTCTCATTTGTAGCATCTGAACAGGAAAATACTTTTAGAAATATAACATGTATGACAGACAACATCCACAAAATCTATCTCATGGACACCCAGTGTGGGCAAGAAGTGTTTTAATGTGAGCTTCCCATATTTCATGTGTCATCCAAATTACTGTTAAATACATTTACTTTTTACAGATAACTATGTAATTATTAGTGTGAAAAATATGGGGTTTGTCCATTCCTCTTTGAAGAAAGAATGAAGGAAACAAATTGTTAAAGATAGCAGCAATGCAGTATTATGATTGCCAACATCAAATGAAGGAAAATATTGCAGAAGCTCCTAGAGGCACTGAGGAAATGATGTAAACAGAACTGCAACGAGAAAATGTCCTAAAAATTCAGCCAGTCCAGCCCTCAGCTCTGGCTGAGGATCATCTTGCCTAGATCATCCCTGGAAGGAGTGCAACCTGTTTCTTGATCTAACTTTTAGTCATAGATAGATCACAATACCCTGAGGTAACCTTTTCTGATTTTGTACACTTAGCAGTTAGAAATGTTTTTTCACCAGCTTTAGATAACTGTGGGAAATAATTGCTCATATTTATAGAATGAAAGCCTTATCCTATCCCCTTTTCTCTCCATGAGTAGTCTTCTATATGAACTGACATTTCTTCACTCTAATGTTTAAAACGTGGGAAGTAGTCTTTTTCTCTTCTGAACTTCCTCCAACTTCTCTATGGGTTTTTATGCATTTAGCCCAAAATGGAAAACAGAATCCAGCTGAGACCTCAGCAGTGCTGAGCAGAATGTACCACCAGTGAAATCCATATCAATAAATAAAGCATATAAATTCAGATTTGAATGTGATGCTGTTGACTCATATTTACTATAAATCAACATCTCTTAATGTTTTTGGCATCATTTTTACTTCCAGTTTAGTTCCCATTGTGCTTTTGAATTTCAAACTTGCAGTATATCCAGTTTCCTTTCTTCAGTGAGTCCCTTCCCTATGATTCCCCTTGGCATCTCTAACCTGTGGTTTTCTTGCCTGTAGAGTCTTTCCTTTTAAAGAGTGATTTAAAAAGAGTGATTTCTTTTTATATCTAGTCTGCTGATAGTTACATAAATTCAAAATTCTAAATCTAAGACACTGCCTGCCCCTTCTTATGTAAATGTTATGTCTTAATCTCTTAATCTTAAAATAAAATGGAAATAATTAGGATTTTTCAACTCTAGCTTAACCAGTGAGTGAAAAAAAAAAAAAATTATGAGTAGACCAACAATACAAAAAACCAGCAGTAGAGACAAAAATTAAAAATATTTCTGCATGATGAATGGCTTAATTTTGTTTCAGATTAAAATCTAGTTTTAGCATGATTTAATGATCTGTCTCTGAAAAATCTTGCTGCTGTACAGCTTTAAATGTCCAGAGTAACTTTAGGATCTAGAATAAATGTCCTGTTTCCTTAATTGTTTATATACTTCCTTAAAATCCTTTATAGGAGGAAAGAATTACTTTTTTTTTTCCCTTTGTTCAGGTTTCTTTTTTTTTTTTCAATCAGTTACTCTTCAGTGTAGTATCACAGTGTTCAGTTTTTCTTATTGCTTATATTTCCTTTCACAGGAATGAACACCAGAACATACACCCAGAAAATCAAGAGCTAGTGCGAGCTCTTCGTCAACAGCTTCAAACTGAGCAGGTGCTGTGTTAAGTGTTAGCATCACTCAGTTATTTTGTTTAGCTCACTGTAGACTTCTGAGATTCTGGAATAAGCTGATCTTAAAAGTTATGGAAGCTATACAGAAGCATCCTTCAAATTTATCAAGTAATGAAATAATGTAGGCTTTTTTTTAATGAATAAGTAAGTAAAAATTTATCTGGTTCTTTTTTCAAAAAAGTTCTTGCCACAAGGTGGAGTATGTTAGATTACGTTGTATGCTTCCTGCAACGTTCCTGGGAATTTAGTGGTAAGGGAAAGGAAATCTGGAGTACAGTTTGCTGCCACAGGACGGGGCTTAGATGTTTAGACAGATAAACTGCATAGCAGAACAATGGCACAGCAACAAGAGCCAGACAACAAAGACTGACAGAGAGAAAATTTTTACGAAAGCCTTTAGTAACAGGACAAGGGGCAGTGGCTTTAAACTGAAAGAGTTAGGTTGAGATGGGACATAAAGAAGAAATTTTTTACAATGAGGTTGGAGAAACACTGGAACAAGTTGTCCAAAGAGGTTGTTGATGCTCCCTTCCTGGAAGTGTTCAAGGCCACGTTAGATGGGGCTTTGAACAACTTGATATAGTGACAAATGTCCCTGCCCATGGCAGGGGAGTTGGACCACATGATCTTTAAAGGGCCTTCCAACCCAAACCATTTTATGATTCTGTGATTGCATCCAGTTCTGACATGTAGAGGAGAGGATGGGAGAGTCTAGGCTATGTTACTGGAAATTGCTGGGTCCCAGCCCTGGAGTGGAAAGTTGTACTTTTGGAGCGTATGGAGGAGAGTCTTTCATCATAATACTTCTTGAAATAATGACAGATTTTTAACTACAGTGCATATTTATGTGGAAGACAAATATGGCAAAATGGGGAAAAAAACATTTCTGGCAGTGACTTACATAAGCTGATGTCTATGCTTAGGCTTGGGCACACTAAATACTGCAACTGGTAAGAAATGCAGTTCAGTTACCTGACTCTGGACAGAACTACTTGGGATAATGAAGTAACAGTTCTAATCTGAGTTGTTACCCATGCTTCAGCATGTCAAACCTACCTTAATGTGAAGGACCAAGGAGGTTCTTCTTTGCAGTATTTAACTGAATTGAACCACACACTTATATAACAAATGAAGAAAAAATAATGTTGTCACAAGAACTTGCTTAGTGAATCAGTTTTTGCATTTAAGTGTGTTTGATTTTTGAATTTAAATACATTTATCTTTCATTTCACATAGTTTTGCATTTGGCTGTTTGACTTCTAGTAAATGAACAGTGGATTTATTATTTTTCTTTTAAACTCAGTAGACATATAAAAATAGTACCTCTAATACTTTGCATTTCTCATCTGTTCCAGCAGGATGCTTTTGCTGGTGATAGACACCACTTCTATACAGATATGTCCTGTCCAGTCTGTTTGCAACAGGCTACATTTCCTATAGAAACAAACTGTGGACATCTCTTCTGTGGTAAGCAAGACAAACCCCAAGCAGCAGAGAAAAAAATGGAATATACAAACTTTTGGCACTACTACTATCACCCTAATGCAAAGCTTTGTTTGATTTTAACTTCTTCTAGTCTGCATTAGAAATATTTTTTATATAAATAGTTGAAAAAGCACATTTGTGAATAAACAGTCTCTTTGACAGTGTGCTGCATTTTTTTCTGTGCTCTCAGAATTGAAACTGCAGTTAATTTAAAAGTGTAAGGGATGAGAGAATAGTTTATTTCCAGTTAGTAAAAAACTTAAGAGGCTGAAAAACACTTGGAAATGTACCATCTTAAAAAACTTGTTTAGAAAGAGTAAGAAATTCTGCTTGGTGTTATCTTTATCTCAGAGTGTTTGGATTTTTTTCCTTGGAAGTCCTGAAGAATTAAGACTAAATTCACAGTGCATTAAGTTTTTGCATTTTTTTCTTGAGGCCCAGCTATTCAAATTTATATATAAATGCCATATGTATCATTTTGCTGCTTCTCCTTCAGGTTCCGCATTGGATTCTTTCACTGCATTCATCTAGTGTTATGGAGTACATAGTGCATACCACGCCTAGTTGTTTAAACAAAACAAATTACAAATTTGGAAAACAGTTACAGTACTCAGTTTTTTATATATTCCTTATCTGTTGGAACTCTTATAATAAAGCCAGCGTTTTAGGATAAATTTCACTTCTCTTGACATTTTTGTGACTTCAGAACTTTGAACTGGTAAAATTTTTAATGATTTGCCTCTTCAGTTAATGATTAAGACATTCTGTATCTTTTCAGGAAATAATGCCTTAAAGTTATTGATGCAGTTGAACTTATTCAAGATTTTTCTCATTAATGGCATTAAATTTGAACACATTGGTTCATGGTATCTTCAGTGAATGCTGTGTACAAAATTATACCAGAAAAGATAGATTTAACGTAACTGTTTATACACTTCTGTTGTTTTCCTTGATGTGTGACATATTATTTCATACAATGGGTGTTCAGCTCAGAAGTTTAAATGTCTGTAACTTACCTTCATCAGGTTCCTGCATTATTGCCTACTGGAGGTATGGCTCATGGTTTGGTGCCATCCGTTGTCCAATCTGTCGACAAACGGTAATATTTTAAGTAATCATGGACCTGATAGTTTGGCTCTATAGTATAGCTTACAAAAAAGCTCTTACATGTGAACTGCAATAGTGAGATTGGCAGAAGTCTGAGAGTATGGATATGCAAGACATAGATGGTGGACATTAAGGTTTTCTGAACTTTTTGTTTTGCCAAGTGGCTCAAAAAATACAGATTGTTTCTGCAACTCAGATTTAAGTGAACAGCACTGATAACTCAGCTGTTTTTCTGTAAAGGAGTATATGAAAACAGAAAATCGCTAACATGTTAACTGTGATTCTTCCATGCTTTCTGTGGGATGTTATATAACTTATTTACCAGAACTTGCATCTGAAAGACCTGGTTGTTGTGGAAGACTGCCAGTAAGCAGTATACTGATGTTTTTGAGAAGCACCCTCTCCCTTCCTTCCCTCCCTGCCAAAAAAAATCTACCCATGTCAATTCCTTATATTGTCCCTATTTTTAGTTTGTATGTATTATTAATTTGAGCTTTGTAGAGCAAGCATTGACTTACTTCCTACGCAACTTACATTGTCAGTTTGAAACGTGTCCCTGCAACTCATTAACACTGAGGATCTCTGCGTCTTACAGTGTATGTTTTAACAAAAGTACGTGTTTATTTTAACAGTGCACAAACTACAGAGCTAGTAACTTCTATAACATTCTTCACACCCTTGCCCATACATTATACCCTGCTTTGATTCTGTGTATCAGCAGGACAATGACTGTAAGAACACAGAGAAAGGAAAGAAAAATAGGTATGACTAGAGGAATAATGAGTAGTTTATTGAGGATATGAGGTATATATGAGTAGCCATTGAGGAGAGACAAAAAATCAAGTGAACATTCATACCAAGACCAAGGCGATATAACATCTTTTTCTGTTAACTTACTAATTGCCTTGGTCCTGGTATGAATGTTCATATGGAAAAGTATCAGTTTTGCTGCTCATTTGCTGAAATACCATTGTAAAGGTGGAAGAAGAATGGCATCATTTTATTTATTTGATTTTCAGTTTAAGAAACAGAACTAGACTAATTTTGTAAATTAACTTTATTCTCTAAATCATCTCTCCCACTTGTGAAACATAAACCATTTAGGTGTTCAGAAAAAGTTCCTGTAAGCCTCTCTTAGAAGGAGAGTTCTCAGACTTGGTTTTAACATTTTTTTAAAAAAATAATATTCTGCAAAGCATTGTAAGCAAGGAATTTGTTAAAACTTAGCAGCAGTGTCCATGTTAGTAGTTTTCATTTTATTTTGTTGCTAAATATCCAACTGACACAAAGTTTATTCTGTGTAGTTAACTGATGATTACTGTTTTCATTTATAGTTCACAATGCCTGCCTTTAAAAGACAGTTGCTCATGTAACAAAATCTCCTTGCTGTTCCTAGGTAACGTTGTTTTTACCACTCTTTGGTGAAGATCAACAGGATGCAACCCAGGTATTTCAAGATGTTAATGATTACAATCGGAGATTCTCTGGACAGCCCAGATCTGTAAGTTTTGAGTAAATTTGTGTGGAAATCAGAGATTTTAGGGGAGATTAGCAGCATTTTTTGTGATTATTTTTTTTTCCCCCCCAGGATATGAATTTTCTCTTCATGACAGTTAAGTATTATGCAAGTTTTCCTTAGGAAATTCATGTTTATATAATTAGGGCAAACGCATGACCTTGAAAATATTTTTTTGCAGTTTGTGGAAATGTATGGAAACCTGTATTTTTGTTGTGAGTGAGAACTGCTAATAAGCCTTGAGTTCCCTATTCTTGTGTTATCTCTTTTTTAACTGTGACTCATTCATTTGAAAGGATTAATAATTAGTCAGTAAAAATACTTAATAAAATACATGACCTGCAAGGAAGAATATTCACTTGATTGATCTATTTACATTGATTAAAAGAACCTGAAGTTATATTCTGTGACTTTCTTACTCAAATTTCAAGCCATATACTGTTTTGATTTTTTTATATTCTTCCTAGATTATATTAGTCTTTATTCTTCTCTCTGAATGAAGAAGACAGGATTGTTTTTATACAAATAGCTAAGAGAGGTGGTTGAAGTTCTACGCACTTTAGAAATAGTCAGCCTCGTGAGCCTGTCTTCTATGTGCATGTTTTCATCTGCAAGGTGAAATGCAAGCACATGCATACTGGTAACTTTTTTGCTTGTCTTTATCCGTTCATTGCATTTTGATATAGTAACAAATCATTAGCAAGAAAAATTAGTGGACAAAAGAGGTTTAAGATGGGTAATTTTTTTTTTGGTCATGTTCTAAACCACAAAACAGTTTTTTTTGATCCAGAGTAGATTAAAACTACCTTTCAGACTCTATTAGACCTCTCTGTGGCTCTGTGTCTAGTCCCAATAACCTGTCCGACGTCATGCCAGAAGTCTGCATTAAAGCACTAGTTGGACTAGATAAATTATCTTTGATTTATACACAGTGCGTTTCCTTAACCACATAGAAAATTCCTTTCTAGAGAACTTTCAATCTTGGCAAGAACTCATTTTAATATCATGACTGTGTAGAAACTATGTACAGTAGAAAAGGAACCAGCATCAAAAACATTTCAAATTTCACCCTTCCCTATGCCTCACAACAAAAACCTGAATATTTTCTCTTGAATAGTCCCTCACTAAGATGACAGAATCATAGTAGGAAAGTGGAAAGGAGCCAGAGATGGATTCATTTAAAGGTTCTTCAGTTTACTTTGAAGCTTGATCCATCCTTTGGAAATTTATGTGAATTACTGGTTATATGCCAGGGGAATGGGTGTTGTATTTCTGAAGAATTGCAACCTATTCTACTTTATCTATTGGTTTTTTCTCACAAACCCTAGTTGTCCTCCATTCTGAGCAATATTTCACTACAGTTAACCTGTTTGCTGTTTCTCACTTTCTCAGTCATTTGTTTTACCCTAGCAGTCGCTGCTTTTCCTTCTTAATAGATGCCAATGTATTTTGTAGTGAGTTACATGTATGTTTTATGGTACAGAATAACACAGTTTGACTGTTTTTTGAAAACATATATATTCTAAATCTGACTTTTTACCCAGCAAAGCTAAACCTGGGAAGTCTTATCTTACTGGTTTTTGTCTTAATTCTTATAAACTAATAGATTCCAAAGCTGTAACATAGTAATAGATATGTCAGACTATAAACCAAAATACTCATTTAGCAAAATATTAATTATTGGTTTCTTTCTTCATAGATTATGGAAAGAATTATGGATCTGCCCACTTTACTGCGACATGCGTTCAGGGAGATGTTTTCTGTTGGGGGCCTCTTCTGGATGTTTCGAATCAGAATATTCCTCTGCTTGCTTGGAGCCTTGCTCTACCTGGCTTCACCTCTGGATTTTCTTCCTGAAGCCCTCTTTGGAATTCTGGGGTTCTTGGATGATTTCTTTGTCATTTTTCTTCTGTTGATATATATCTCTATCATGTATCGAGAAGTGGTAACACAGCGACTGAATAGATGAAATGGATGAAAATGACCCAAATGCAGAGGTGTTTGTGGAATGTTTTAGAAAGAGAACTGTAGCATCAGTATGATATAGCAAGGCTCCTGTGTGCAGTTTCAGTAGTTACAATGGCACAGCAGATCATCTTATACAAATATGAAGGGTCAGTATGTGGTGATGCTTAACTGGAATCTTTAATTTGTATATTACATGTGCTTCATAAGGATGAGGTTAGTTTTATAATGTAATAAACTACCTTCATCTACTTCCACCTGATGAACAACTCTATGTAATCAAAGCAGAAAACACCTTTTTGCGGTGTGATTTATGAAAAAGGAGTTCTAGTAAAAGCCTTCTAACCAAAAGTCCCCTTGGGTAATCAAGACATATATTAGGAAATTCAGAAATTCTTCTCAGTACTGTTATCACAGCTAAATTATTTACAATCTCTCTGTTGTGGGCTAGAGTTTTTAAAAATAAAAGTAGCTTTGTGTGTCTCTGTAGGAGAAACCCAAGGATCACATTACAATTACTACCCTGCAGTACACTGTTGTGCACGTGTTTCACAAAACCAGGGAGAACACCTCAGTATTGCTTGAACTGCACTATGTACAGTTGCATGCAATTCATACAATTTTATTTTTATATTTGGGAATAGACACACTGTATCTCATCTAGATAGAGAAATCAATATTATGCACATCAGACTGGTTAGTGGTCTATTTTTAAACAGGAGAATGGTTTTTCTTTTCAGGCTTGTTTATTTGGTATGTATGTTTGTTGGAAGTGGGGGTTTTATGCTGCTTTGGGTCAGCACAATGTAACTGAGTGATAGTCTGCATTCCTTTAGTTGCATTCAAGCTTTTAATCAATGGAGAGAATCCTTAAAATTTTAGATAGTATTTGAAGAAAATAAGTCAGAATTGGATGTTTACACTACAAAACTTTACCTGAATGTACATTCTGCAATACAAGTATTAAACAACTTAGATATCAGGGTGTTTGATCTTTAGCTGGGGTTTTCTTGTTTGATTGCTTGATTTGGATGTGGATAGTGTGAATTAATGGGAAAAAGGTCTGTAACAAGGGACCAATAAAAAATCCTGGAAATGTTTTCAAAAATACTAGGGTATTAATTATCCTTAAAGGTTTTTGAGATTTTTTTCATGTTGAATTTGAATATAGGCTATTGTAGCTACATAAGTAATTTGAAAATATTTTCATTTTAAGAAATGAATGCCACTATAATTTGAAAATATTTTCATTTTAAGAAATTAATGCCACTAGAAGGGTCCAGGATATAATAGATCTATGTACTTTTTGGCTAGAGGAACGATGTCATTTTATTTTAACTTCCTGAGTACTTGAAAGACAGGGATAAGTCAGGTGATTCTCTGTGTGTTTACATATATGAGATGAGACTTACAATGAAAGGGACCTTTTCACAACTTCTGTTTTGCCCATGCAGGTGTCTTTCCACAGCTTCTAGCACCTAGGCATGTGCAGGAAGATGATAAGAGCTGGCACTTGTCAGTGGATTGGAGATTGTCCTTCAGTGTCCATTTTTTAAACTACATTCATTTAAAAGTAAATTCCCTGATTCTTCATTTGAAAATTCACTTTTTAAAGCCCAAAGACATTTTACAAATGAACTGGAAAGCTAAATTTTACCTTGTCACTCTGTTAGAGATTGGCAAGAGGAAAAACAGGAAGTGAAGCAAGGGTGGGAGGAAGAGAACAAGATAGAAAATTACATTTTTGGCAGCAAATTCTATTGGTTTTGGCCAATTAACTGTTCTTGATCATCTTAGTTGAGCTTTTCCCTTTGTGTTGGCATCACTAATATATGGGGATGGTTTAGTGGCTACCTCAGTTAAAAGTCATTAAGGTATTATCGAGTAAGCGTGGGATATTCATAAACTGTTAGGTACATTTACAAAGCAAGATAGTAGTTTAGGATATTAGGTAAGACAAGATTTTGCAATTTTGCTGTAAGGATTGTTTTTGGTTTGTTTTTTTTTTCCCCAAGAGATCCAGCTGAGAGCAAACTCCAAAAAGGTATTTGTAAATGAGTAAATTTAACACCCCCTTTTCTCCTGGAGTTTAACTTGTGGGTCTGTTTAGAGAACAGTATGAACTGAAAAACTGGAGTCTGTTCATAGAATCTGTTGATGTAGTTGATCTCCATACGTTTATCCTATGATAATGTTTATACTTTTTCCCATGACTTTCTAAATCCAGTGTGGGTATAGATATATGTAAGGCTGTTTACTGGTTTGTTTTCATTGAGCTTCTCAATGCCACAAGCTACTGTGAAGTTCAGGCAGAAATACCCAAGGGGTCAGCTCCTCAAGAACAGACCTTCTTGTGTTTCTGAAATCATATACAAGCACATCTGAGTAGCTATATAAATTTTTCCTGTATTCTGGTTTTTCCTTCACTACATTTCTGCTAGCCAGAAAGTTTTCACTCGGAGGCTTCTGATTACTTTTGAATATGGAGTAACATTGTAAGCTTAAATTCAACACATGAAATGCTTGATGGAAATAGGACCATCCTTCCATTTCACTAATATGTGTACTTGCTTGTGGAGACTTTTTTTGGACCGGCAAGCCACTGATGAACAGCATTATGACTTGCTCAGGTTCTTTCTTGAACAGCTGTAATGTGAAGATGCATCTGTCCGCAGCATCTGGCTCCTGCCTCTTTACACAAATGTGAACTAGCAGTAAATTGGATACTTGCCACTTGAGTTTAACTTAATCTCTGGAACTTCAAAGAAGCTGGAGATTAATACACTAGCATGTAGTACTCCTGAATGATGTGCTGCCAAGCTGTTCTGGCAGCAGTGTTAAAGGTAAGTGCTATTGCTGAGTATTGATTTCAGAATGCAAAGGAAATATATGGTGCTGTGTGGAGAGTGACTGCAAACGTCACTATGGTTTTGTATCCTGGAATGGGGCAGCCATGTCACTGAGGGGTGAAAAAAAAACAGAGGAAAACTTCAGCATCTAAGAGGAGATATAGGGGAAAAATACAGTTCTTAAAAGATTCTTATGGCTTCGCCAAAAACTCTGTGAAATATCTAATTGTTCCAGCAGTATTAACGAAGGGGGAAACTAAAGTTATACTTAACAGCTCTTACAGAATAACTTGTAGCATCTTGAGGCCTAATGATCATCCTTATGACAACTGCTGTGTCGACCAATCTGTTTCTGTGTTGTTTGTGTCCCACACCATTGATGTCTGTGAGGATGAGGCAGAATAATATGATTTGGGGATACAATTTTGCCACACGTTTAATAGAACAGTAGCAGTGACTTGTGTGTTACACTGGGTTTTTAAGACAAAAGGATTTAAACCCACTTGTTACTTTTAATGATAATAAATTACAATTAAAGTGAGAAATTGTCTTGATTTCTTTTACTGACTTTATGGGTGGGAAATTGTTTTATTTCCCTTTTTCTTTTTTCCCTGGGCTAAATTTGGCAGTAACCCTTCTGCAGTCTTGATCAGTTCTTATCTTAGTGTCTGTGGACAGGATGTTCAGTGATAACTCAGTGGTTTTAATCTTCATTATTGCCATTATAAGGATTGCAATATTTCTAAGATCTTTGTCCCAAAATCATATTGTATATTAGATGTCTTTTCTCTGAGTAGTCTAACCAGCACCTTCAGATCCATGGGCACTAAGCTTTCAGCATGGTAAACCAGTACAGATGATTAATCAGCACCTTCACATATCAATCCTCCAAGCAAACAAAAGCATAAAGCAGGTTGTTGAGAATCCATTTTGTGAAGTAAATTGAAGGAAACAGCAAATAGTCTCTGGAGGTTTTCAGGAAGGATGAAGTTAGGGTAGGACAGAGAAGAACTGGATGTGACTGGTCTGTGCTGCAATCCTGTGCTTTTCCTGATTCATGCCATGAAAGGCTCCTGGGCATCAGGAGGACATTATCCATTCTGCTAAGAAATGTCCAATAAGTCTTACCTGGGAAGTCCAGAGCCAAGGTGGGCCAAGTCTTCTGAACTCAAGAGGTGAACTTTGTAGCCTGCTTTGGTACATGGTTCCAGTGTTTATGAAAAAAAAACATATGTATTTGGTAAGAAGCTATTAAGTCAGGTTGAAAATTTGATGAGTACACACTTCTTCCATCTGATGCCTCTGTGCTTGCTGTGGGAATCTCAGCTAAACACTTGGGAATGCCTCAGCCAAGGCTGCCAGAGTAGATGGCTGTTTCAGAAGGTCTGTTGTACAGTTGCAACTGTAGATAGGTTTTCTGCTTCCAAGTCCCAGTCAAACAGGCAGCTGCCCATTAGTCACCCAATAGTGGAGGCCATGCAGGCATTTGTTCCAATGAAGACACAGCATTAAGTCTCATTATCCCTGTTTCTTTCAGATGTAGTGTCCTAGTGGTTTGCCTTCTTCCCTGTTGGGGGCACTGGAGTTTTAACCTGGGTTCTGAATTTCAGACCTGTCTGCTGAATTTCATTCCATCTATGATTCCCTCAGCCCAGGGACCTGCAGATATTTAGGGCAGAGGTAGGGCTGCACGTGTTGTTCCCATGTAGATAGCACATCATTAGACACAGTGGTAAGTAGAGGTGCTTTCTGTAAACTGCGGATTTTGTTCATTCAGGGAGTGAGAGGTCAATACAAGTAATTAAATAATTAATACTGCAAAATGAGGCAAGCAGGACGTTAGAGTTGAATTTCCTATCTTGATTTGCATTCAGTCTCTTTGTATCACCCTGCTCTGTATCACATCACCTTGTGCAAGATGTCTGTCATTTCAGCATCCTCACAAAGATCTATTATAGACACATTTCATTTGTGCCTAGGTAATCTCAGATCTTGCCATGGGTACTTCTGTTGCAACTTTCATGGCAAGTGTCAGGGCTGCTCTGTTGAGTGGAATAAATCAAAGGACAGGGGTGGGCAGGGGGAACAAAAAGGGTCCTTTTAAGATCCTTAATTGTATTATCTACTCTTATTGGTACTGTATTGCTCTGTATAAGAACATCTAAATATCTTGTGTCTCTTTGTTCATACTAATGATAGGTAAAAGGTACAAGAATGATGAAAACTCTAGAAACTACATCCAAGGGGAAACGTTGGAGAGAATGGTATTTTGCCTATGGAGTAGACTGAGGAAAACATGAGTCTTTAAGTATGCTAAAAGGGATTGCTATTCTCTGCATTACCTGTGACTAGAGGAAGTAGCAGTGAGCCTGAATTGCAGCAAATGAGACTTAGATTGGAAGAAATTTGCTTGAATTGGGAGAGGGTATCGACTGGGGCATTGATGGAACTTCTCCTGGGAGGCTTCTGAAGGCAGGCTATCATCTGTGAGGACTGGTTTCTGCACACCTAGTTCTGCCTGGGGAAGGGGCAACTGAATGAAAAGGTGGCTGCTTTCAAGACAGCTGCTCTGGGCCTTAATATATATGGGACCAGAGAAGTCTTGGATCTGACCAAATCTGTCTTGTTGCTGATGTTTCTTGACACGTTACCTGTATGTGTCAGCCATCAGACCTGCCCAGCTTACCTTTCCCCAGGAGTTTTGCTAAATAGCAGTTGTGCTGGGTTTGTGTGGTGGGGTTTTTGCTATCAGGGGAGAGGACTACAGCAGTAGCCCCTTGTAAGAAGCTTCTTGAAAGCTCCCCTGGCTCCAGGTCAGACACGCCTCTGGCCAAGGCCCAGCCAATAAGTGATGGTGGTGGCACCTTTGTGATAACATATTTAAGAAGGGCAACCAGAGAGGGAATTAGGACTTTGAGGTGTTATGAGAAGGAAACCTGTGTGAACAATGAGGGCAGCAGAAGAAAGGAGGAGAAAGGGAGGGAGGTGCTTCAGAGCATGAAGCCCCCCCTGTATCCCATGGTGAGATGGCAGGGCCTCCCTTCCTTCCACCCATGGAGGCCACTGGAGGAGCAGATATTCACCTGTGGCCTGTGGAGTACCCCCAAGACTCTGTGGGAATAAGAAGCCCCCACTGTTGTAGTTCAGTGCTGGGAGGACTGCAACATGTGGAGGTGACGCACGCTGGAGTGTATTGAGAAGAATGCATGCCATGAGGAGGACTTGCAGTTGAGAGAGTTCATGGAGGACTGTCTCCTGTGAGAGGGATGCCACATGCAGAAGAGTCCTTCCCCCTCACCTTGGTAGAAGAAGCGTCGGACTGACTGCACTCCTTACCCCCTGTTCCTGTGCCACTGGTGGAGGAGGTAGAAATATCAGGGAAAAAAAGTGAGCCAGGGAAGAAGGGAGAGGTGGGGAGAGGTGTTTTAAGATATGGCAATGCTTCTCACTACTCCATTCTGTCTGTTAAGTGTTGGTTTTGTTTGAATTAAAGTGATGTTCTTGTTTTCTTCCCCTAATGAGCGTGGTTTTTGTCTGTGACCCTTAATGGGTGAGGGATCCGTCTCTGCCCTTATCTTGATTCCTGAGCCTTTTGATTCATTTTTCTCCTTCCCAGTACTGGGAGGGAAGGAGTGACTTTAAAAAGTCACAGTGCTTACAATCTCTGGAAAAACAATATGGCTCCACCTTATTTCAGGACACCTTAATGATTATTTACAACAATATTCCATTTTATTACAAAGATCATTATTTGTCCCATCTTTTCCAAGAGGAGTATTATTCCTCATGATTAACAGATGCTTAATTGGTGGGAGGGAAGGAGAGGGGAAAGGAACACAATTGGTAATACTGAGTCAATTGCTCATTGCTGGCAGGTAATGGATGGGGAACCATGGGTGTGTCAGGTGTTACTAATAGCTTGGCTAGAATATGTTGCATGGAAAGCTGTTCAGCTTCATGCTAGCATATGTTGTGCTTCACGGTCAAGAATTATTTTCTCCCCTCTCCTGCTTTCTGCCTTCATTCTGGAAACTTATTTTTTCTTTTACCAAGATGGGGAGGCAACAGAACCTGAAAATAATTCATGCCACAATGTATACAGAGCAGTCCAAGCACTCCTAAGTAAATTACCTTTTTCAGGAAGAGGCCTCTCCTCATCCCATGGGATGCAGCCTTACTCTCCAAAGTGAAAGGTCATGCTTTTGTCTGTCTTCCTGCCTTCACCATCTGGGTGCTAGGGGTTGGTGTTGCCTGATGCTCAAAGGATGTGCCTGGGCTCTAAGAAGGATCAGAATATTGTATTTAATTCAGGTTGACTCAAAATAACTGTTATCATATGCCTCATTGGTGAGTTGGTTCATGACAGTTTATGGTTTATGGTTTTATCCTATATACGGTCTTCAGCCTTCAACCAACGAACCTGAAGTTGCTTTAGTCTCATTTCTCCTTTCCTTGCAGGTTTTTGTAGTTTTGTTCATTCCCCTCCCATGCATAAAGACCACAGTAAAGATCACAAAGCAAATTTTGGTTAATCACCTGTTCATATACCACAAGCTTATCCCTGAATATCTCTTTCAGCCAATCCCTTAACTCTCTTGCATCTCACAGGCCATGCATCAGGAAGGAAGGCAGAAATGTGTCTAATTAAATGGTTAAATTCCTCATGTAGCAATCTCAAGAAGACAGTTCAATACATCTCTGTGGTTCTGCCTCCTCACGTGAGGAGTTGCCTTTCCTCAAGAAGGATGAAGGACTTGACGTACAGCAACTTCTTGGCCTAAGCCTATAATTTACCTCAGCGATGCCCCCTGGTTTAATAACTGCAAGTGGAGAACGAAGACCAGAAGAAGCTCCAGTTAGGCAGGACTGTATTTGTGCCTGGGAGGCTGGAGAAGAGCACGTGTACTAAGGAGCTGTTTAATACAGTTTCAGTCATGTCCAGAGAGACTGGTTTTCTCTGTCACTGAGGTTGTTATGTGCAAGTCTTTTCTAGATGAAAACCAAGACATTGCTTTGAAAATAATCCCTGTGGTATTACCATTTATTTACATACAGGTATTTAGAGCCCCTGGGGTTCTTGTTCATACAGTTTTGTTCACGGCTCCCAAAAGCAAGGATTGTCTCAATATGGAAAGAAGAAGACAGAACTCAGTAATCATATTGCAACTGCAAGAGCCCCTAGTATAAAAACAAACAAACAAACCCCAAAAAAAACCAACAACAAAAACACAAAACCCCCTCAGACACATTTAAAACCACAAGGACTGGCAACATTGTTTTGACAAAGCTGCTTTTCTGGAAATCCCATGAACTTCCCATTCTGGGCTGCTGGGCAGAACCTTTCTCGGATTCTGATCTCCAATGTTGATTCAGTTCACCTTGCTCAGAAGAAATGGGCAATTGATATCAGTAATTTTAGATGTTAGATCATCAGCAGAAGAGGCCATGCTAGCCCAGCCCCAGCAGAACTTTTCTTGTCCTACCTCCCATTCCTCAGTGGGCTGCTGCCTCCACTGAGTGCCTCACTGACTTGCAGGGGCACTGTAGA